ATGAACCTTTTATAAGATTATATATACAAATGTATAAATTTTTAAACATTCATAATAAAGTAGTTGTGGTAATAAATAACTTATAAATGTTTATAAACATAGTTTTAAAATTTATACATTTGTATATATGATCTTATATAGAGGTAATATTGAAAATGTTTTTAGACATGGATATTTTTTAAAAATTGCAACACAAAGGGAATATTTCTCTTGTATCATATGTGATGTGATTTCATGAACATTTTGTGTAAATTTGTTTCAGCCAAAACTAATAACTTAATTTAGTACTCCAATTAGTTAAGTTTTTTATTACTGATTATATAATTTTTTTTCAACCATGCCATAAAATTATATAAAGAAAAAAGCAGTTGCGTCATTTCATTATTTAACCAAATTAATTTTTCAATGTTACTTAACTAAAACTATTAAAAGCTTTCGGGTCCTATTGAACCGGGGTTCAGACTTTTCCTTTGGAATCTTGGTCACACTTTGTGTATTATTCCACATTTGGACGTAATTATGAGAAACTTCAATCCATTTTCTTCGGTTCTTCTCACATTCCAAAGTTTATGCCTTACTTGATTTAAAGATTTCTCCGACTCCAGCATCACTCCAATCTCTGGCATCTCTCCAACTTCCGGAGTCTCTTCGGCAAAATCTGATCAATATCAATGGTTGATCCAAAATAACATTAAAATGATCATTGTTAACGCATTACTAGAAACCCAATAGAAATTTTCTCTTTCGCTATATACAGTTTCTAACTACTAAGTAGTAACATATTCACAATATTTAACTTGTACCTAGCTAACCCATTTTAAATTTAAGAAAACCTTTTAACAAGAAAAATAATCCATTACAAATTCTGTCACAAAGATATTACAGTTAATAAATACTACCAACCAAAACATCTAATTTGAGTTCTATATTTAATTATAGATATATCCGGCCGTAGTTCCATATCCAAATTACAAGTTTAGTATTTACTATTTACAAGTGAAAGACTTAAACTCAAATTATGTAGTATCAATTTGGAAATTATCAATTTTATCTCTATATGCATTGGTCATTTTGACTTTCGGATGGTTAGCAA